GATCAGGTTATCACTCTAACAGCTTGTGATAGAGAGCCTCTGTCTCCTGAACCTAAGAATCAATCCACAATCTGCAATAACCGGTGGGTCTCCTAAGCTTTCTAAGCTCCCTTTTTGTTGTGGGCAAAGATAGACTCACTATCCCTGATGTCTTCTCTGGGTTGATTTTCTGCTTTCCTTCACTGATTTAATGTTCCAAGTATTTTACTTCTTTTTCTACAAACTATTAGAAAATCTACTTTAGCAGATTTGTTAACTTTTCTTTCCCAGAAAGTTAGAATGGTCTCTGACACTCCACTTCCCTTCTTTCCAGAGATAAGAAGATCATATACTATGGTAGCAACTGAGTTGCTTCAGAAACTTGGAGCTGTTCGAAGACTTTTCCCAACACTTCACCAAATGGACTTGGGACTACTGTCAGAACTCATGGTAACCCAGGCCAGTGGTGGCACTGTTTCCCTCCATTTTCTGGGTGTTCCCACTCAAAAACAAAATGATCTCTGCTTCCTTTGGCTCAAGGCACAAGCCCGAAATGCATGTTTTAAATCCACCACACCAAACCATTTGTGTTCATGTGGGATTTTACTGAAGAGGATATAAGGATTTGGCCTATGGTGTGTCAAGCCTGGACAACTTGATTCACAACTCTTATAAGTCCTATATTAGCCTGTAGGACCCATCAGGCTTCTTAACTGGGAGAAGGGAATATTGCACTGTGACATGCAAGATTCCAGTAATCCATCTCTGATCAACCTCTTCATTACTGGCTGTAAGCCCTTCTTTTCTTCAGTAGGAATGGGGTATAATCTATAAAATGTCTCTCTTGGTTGCTTAATTTCTAATGGCACAATGATAATCCCCATTATCCTTTCTTACCTGTACAGGGGATAAACCTTTTCTCTTCTCCCTCCTCAGTTAGGATAACCATTAGTACTTGTATTTGTCCCTTGTTTACTCCTAATCCTAAACCTAATTTCACAATCAGGTCTCATCCCAGGAGATTAATTTCTGCCTCAGATACCTATAAAAAGGACCCCTCAGTTTGTTCTGATTGCAGTCTGATTAGCATTAAAAAAAATACGTTGTTGGGCTGCTTCAAATGGCTCTCTCCCCTTCTCTTTCCACATTCCCCAGATATAGGAAGAAAAAAGGAGATTGGATGAAGTTCTCATCCATTTTCCCCCATTCCTCGATCCTCCCCATCCTAACCGGTGGTCCACATGGGTGTGCATCCCTCTCAACTATGTAAATGTCATCCAAAATAAAATGATTTATTATTAAAAATAAATCAATAAGTAAGATATTGGAACATGGAATCCCTTCCCCTTAACCCCCAATACTTTATATTTTCCCCTGGGGAATTCTGTGTCCTTGGGGTTGTTGTGTCAGGGAAGAAGGAGCAGCTCCTCTGTCAAGCAAAAATGTTGCCTCTTTCTTTCAGTCCCCACCACTCAGTTTACTACAGGATCCACTCAGAAAGAATGTCTGACCCCTAATCTTCACCAACCTTTATGAGGGGCTCAACCTGTCGTCTTTTTTTTTTTTCCTTCATTCTGGGCATTCTCTCTTGAGATGTCCAATCTGTTCACACCTGTAAGATTCACTTGCAGTTTTAGGAGCTCCCCCCTGCATTTCTATCCTTGCTGTTTATTGAAATTTGGGTTTTCCCCAACTGTTGTGAGGGGATTCTGATCCATTGTCTCTAACTATTTCTACATAGAAACTGGGACTTTTCCTTTTTGTTTTTGTTTTCTTCTTTTCTCTTAGACACTTTTTGTGCCTCCTTTAATAGTTCATAAGCTTCTCATTCCACCTGCAAACTTTTGCAATTTCTTTGTGATATCAGGCCAGTTTTTAATTACAAAATTATCTTTTAAAAGTCGTTGCCCCTCTGGATCCAGCTCAGAGTATTTCTTCTTTCAATCTCTAATCTCTGTAGAAAAGCATAGGGGGTTCCTCTTTCTTCATGTTGAGATTCAAATGCTTCAGAGGCATTGTGTGACTTGGGAGCAGATTCTTTGATTTCTTTCATTATTGGCTCTCCAATATCCTGCATTTGTGCTTGATACCTGGGGTCATTATTATTCCACTCAGGATCAACACTCTAGCATTTTTGTTCAGCTCTTTAGACCCCATGCCCAGGAGGCTCCTTTCTGCAGATGGCCATAGCTATCCTAATCATTTCTCCCTCCTCTGTAAACCTGATCTTCATTTTAGATATTGTTTCCATCCAAACAAAGAAACTGGGTCCTAACGAATGGTCAAGTTGGGTGTCTAGTCCCAAAGGATCCTCTAGGAGTGGTTATATTTCTCTTGAAATGTCTGGCCTGTGTATTAGTAAGGGATGGACTAACAGATCTGACTTCTCCTTGTTCTACAGAAACTTCCTGGAGAGGGAGGACATCCCCAAAGGACCTCAACATTTTCCCTACTGGACCTACCAGGGGGGATATCAGAAGCGGCCTCTTCACCTCCCTCTTCTCTAGGCTTAGAATTCTGATTTCCTATTTTGACTACTCTCTGTTGCTTGTATAGTTGTGCAATCAATCTTAAATAATGGAGAGTTCTTATGAGGTTTCTTGTCCACTCTGGGACCATTTTTTTCATCTTCTGCTATTTCCTTTCTGAGAGAATAGAACTGCAGATTGGGATTCAACATTCACTTCCTATCTTGGATCCATCTTGGTCACACATACTCAACCTCTGAAAATATCCAACCACCTGTGCAGTGCTTACACTACACATTTTTCAATCTTGGCTCCTGCACAAGGTTGCCTGTTTGCTGCAGTGCCTGCTTTTTTCTTGTCTTTGTCACCTCTGCTGTCTTCTGAATGACAATCTCTAGCTTTTCTGTAGGAAGTCAGGGTGCCCTGACAGGCAAGCCACCTGGATTCGAGTGCAAGGAGTCTCTCCTTCTGCCAAAGTCCTACTTGGTGCAGGTACACAGAACCCAGGTGAGCCTCCAAGTGTGGACTTAGGAAGTACAGTGAAAGCAAGACGTTACTATAGATCTTGCAGGACTGTTTATCTGATGAGCTGGCACACTGGCAGCAGTTATGGCAAGTGATGTATATTATAGAGTATAGGTCCCTTCCCTAATTCCTCAATGGCTGAGTACTGTGGGGTATGGAATCTTCCCAGATTTGCCTAAATTGCCTAAGTTACAAAGTTACTTTCTGCCTTTCTTCTCTGTTCTTTAATTCCCCTCTTGTGAGTTGGCTACTCTATAACATCTTGTATGCCTAATGCATTTTTGCTACATCTGCTAGTCAGCTAGCAGCACTTTTCTTTGTGTGCTGAACATGAGCCACCAGACATTTTGTTACAGCAGAGCACTAACAGGAAGCTAGATCAGAAATGGAGCAGCCAGGACTTTAAGCAGTACTCCGATACAGGATACAGGATGCCAGTGTCATAAACAGTGGCTTAACCTGCAATACTGGCTGTCACTAATCTTATAAGATGGAGGCTTCATGATGTAATAATTTCTCCAAAGGCCTTGTTAGTGCTATATTCATATTAATTTTAGGGAGACTCGAGCATTCAGATCACAGCAGGGTTATTCAAGGTCTGGGGACTAGAGGGCACAGGATATCCTTTCTCCAAGTAACCAGAGTGGTTAGATAAATCCTAAGGTGCCTATAGGTGTTGTCGGCTCAGTACTCCATTTCAATTTTCTTTTTGGCCCACAGATCTATTGATTCATTTCAAGATTTGAGATTATTCTTACTCTTATAGTAATTTATTCATATATATATTTAATACCTCATACCAGGGCTTGGTCACAATTTGTTAATTCTGTAATTTCTCACTCTTACAATAGATATTTATTGAGCATCTTATTACCCATATTTCTAGTATATAGTAGTCAGTGACACAGCTAGATTATAACATGCCCTGTTATTTACATGGGTCTCTGGGTTGTGAAATGGGAAGAATGAGCCATTCCCTATTCTGTCCCACTCCCAGTCCCCAGGGAGTGTTTTATCTAGAGCTTTCTCAAACTGTTTCCACTCACTCCACTATTGCCCAGGGACTTGTTGTTCCTCCCCAGGCGACCACTCATCTACGTGTGCCCAACAGCTGTGAAGTCAATTTCCCACCATAGTTAGGGAATCAAGAAGGTGAAGGTCCTGCTAGAAGCTCACCTAACTACCAGAAACAGAAAGGAACTGCAGATCTGGGATCTAAGCTAAGTGTGGTCTTGCAGGGAGGTTCTGGTTTCTGTTGCCCTCTACCCCCTCTGTCCACTTAGGAATGACCAGAAATTACCGTGTGGCTCTTTTCCTTCTAGGTAAGGGTGGAAAAGGGGAAAGAAAACAGCTCTTTCCAAGTACCAAATCTAGCTTGAGTTCTCAGTTCTTCCACTTCCCGACCATATGACCTTAATTTCTGTGAACCTCTGCTTCCCCAGTTAAAAAAGAGATGACAGTTCCCATCTTGGGAAATTATGCTAAGTAAATAGAGTGTATTTGCAGCACCTGGCACACACAAAATTAGCTATTCAGCAGTAGAGCTGAATTAGAACTGCAGGTGACCTTTTTTATTTTTAAAATAATTGGTTGTCAAAAACTTACACAATACTCGGGTATATACAGCGGGTGACACAGGTGGCCTACTTGGCTTGAGTCTCAATTGCTGTCCCAAACTGAGTCATAACAGCTTGATTTATTTTTACTCTCTATCTCGTCTGGCTTCTTTCTGAGGATTCTTCCTCTAGAAAGAAATTAGGCTGTTGGGAAATGGGAGAAGAAACTTGTAAATAAAACCAGGGTCATGGGGCCGTTCTTGGATTTCTCTTACTCTGGTGGACAGATACAAGGCGGGAAGGGGGTGGGGGACTGGTGCAACAGGTGGCAGCGGGGAAGGCAAAAGGGGCGGGGCTTAACAAAGGGGCGGGAGTAACAGCGCCTGGGGGCGCCAACGGAGCGAAGCGGCCGCCCATCCGGGCCAGCTGCCATTGGACGAGGCTGAGGCGACGTAATAGCCGCGCGCGCATGGGTCCGGACAGTCGCCACGGCGTCTGCGCACGGGGAAGCTGGTTGCCGCCGCGGCCGCCTGGAATTGTGGGGTTTGTGTTTGCCCCTCGGCTGCTTTGCGGGAGGCCCAAGGTAGGGGCTGTGAGGGCCACTCGGCCCTGGAACGGAGCGCGGGGCTCAGGGCGGCCTCGGCGCTTTCCCGACAGTGGTCCCGGGTTCTACACGCTCCCTTCTCGTGTCTCCAAAGCGGGACGTCCAAGTCAGCCGTGGTCTGTCAGCCCGAGGGCTGCCGTCTCCAAGTCGGTCTCCACTCACCCTTGCGTGTCCAGGAGATGAGGCTGTGGGAGTGCGAGCTCGGCTCCTGCTCCCCACGTCTGCTGGGGTGTCCTGTCTTGCCCCCTCCTCCCTCCTTCAGTTTCCGCACCTGCTTTGCGTTAAATCCCTGGGTGGTTGAGGTGTTGGTCTCTGACGCCCCCCCAGTGTTGACAGGCTGCCTGTCTTGGCCGTGAGGAGTTGTGTGCTCTCTGCTTTCGGCTTCTGTTTGGGCGTTTTGTGGCGGCCTTAGTCCTAGCAAGTCAGAGACTTCTGTGGGTCTCAGGTCATATGCCCCTCTCGGGGATTTTGGATAAAGTAATTATTAGCACCTGAGTTCTAAGACAGATGATTCTCATTTTGGTCCTGGGACTACCCATTTGAGAAGCTCTGCTTGATGAGGCAGGAGAGAAATGACTTGGAGGAGCACCTGGGAAGGGGTGCCATTTGGGAAGAGCCCAGCGGATGAGGGGGACAGCCAGCAGTCAGGAGCTGCTCAGCAGCTGAGAGGCCAGTGAGGCTTCCTTGGCACTGTTGGAAGTGGAGGGGCGTTTGTTGCCTTTTAAAATATACAACGTTACTCAAGGAAGATCAGTTTTCTAATAACTACATGCTTTTAAAGATTTGCTTATTATGAAAGGTAGAGTTAAAGAGGGAGGGGGCGTTTCTGTCTACTGGTTCACTCCCCAAATGACCTCAAGGCCAGTGCTAGGTCAGGTTGTAGTCAGGAGCTTGGAGTTTTATCCTGCAATTTCACAGGGATGGCAGGGGCCCAAGCACCTGGCCGTTTTCTGTTGTTTTCCCCGGGGTATAAGCAGGAAGCTGGATTGATAATGAAACACCCAGAGTTCCAACCAGGACTTGAACCAGGTGCTCACGTGGCATGATGGCATCGTAAGCAGTGGTTTAACCCATTGTGCCAATAAAGCTGACTCCCACTAATAAATATTGCCGGATGCTTGTCTTTGATTTATGCCCAGCTGGTTTTCTCAGTAAGACAAAACGAACTACTTTGAGAGAAGGAAATGATTAGATTAATCATGACTGGGTAGGCAGGAGAATATCAATATTTGCTATGGTAAACAGGTTCTTAAATACTGTGGGAAATATCCTCATCTGTCTACTCAAGAGATGGCCTTGGCCTCGTGAGATGCAGTAAAGTCAAGACTTGATTATCATTCCTGAGCCATCTAATGTCTGATGGTCAGGCACCCTGGGGGCAAGCAATTTATATACTAGCATGTAGATTCATTCCCTGGTTCCTCATTGGCTGAGTTCTATATGATATGCATCTTACCAGACTTGCCTATGCTGCCTAAGTTACAAAGTTTCTGCCTTCCTTCACTGTTCTTTAAATGCCTCTTCCGAGTTGGCTGCTCTCTAACACCTTACATGCCTAGTGAGTTTTGCTACATTGGTAGCAGTAATTTTCCTTCTGTGTTGAACATAGACTACCAGATATTTTCTTAACAATACTAACAGTATTTGTTTTAACAGAGGAAACTGTATTGTGTTGGGGATGGGTGGATGTGTGTGTGTGTGTGTGTGTGTCTGTGTGTTTTATTGTTGTTTTCACCCTACCCAAGCTTTTTTCTTTTCTGATAAAAGCTTAACCAGATTGGGAATTTCTTAAGCTTTTGCTGGTAGCCGTGGTATAACCAGGTTAGGATTGGTATTTGTATAACCTGAGTCAGAACTTGGCTTATGGTTTCAATTGAGAACATGGCCACCACACCAGGTTTATTTTAACTTTTCTTTCACATGTTTAGTGAATGTAATATGCTAATTGCTATGAATGCTGTTCTGATGAAGTTAGCAAGCAAAAAAGCTATTTGCCCTCATTTTCCAGATGATGGGAAAGGGGAAGATGTGAGGAGGCATGTGGCAGCTTTGGGGGAGGCAATGGGGAGGAGTACCTGCTTGCTACTTGGGTCCTGTTTTCCTCATTCCCGTTGTTAACTGGAAGGCCAGTTACTACTTCTCTACAGAGGCCAATTTTGAGCTTTAGTATGTTTCATTGGCAGAAAGAACAAATAAGTAAAAATGAAAAATACCAAAATTGACTTTAAAATAACAAATATGCTAGTACTTAACCCTCCAGTGAGAATTGTCCTTTGGAGTGATGTGTGATAGGAGTAGGAGGGGAGGTAAGAGTTTATAATAGCATCACCAAGGTGATACAACCGTTGTCGAAGGCAGATTTGGTTTTTGAACCATATGTGATATCAGTCTCAGTAATACATGGTACGATACAGTATTTTCACAAATGTCAAATGACATAGTTTGGCTAGTTATTTTCAGGTGCAAGTCATGAATTTTCGAGTGAGGTCTGATCTGTGTCTGATCAATGTGTCTGATCAGCCATGTGGCTTTGGAAAAGATGCTTTATCTCTTAGATTTTGCTGCATATAAATGGGAATAATACTTCCAAGAATTATTAAATGAGGTAATACCCATGAAAGCTCTTGGGATACGGGAAATCAGTGTTTTCAGTCTCAATGAATGAAGAATTTTGTGTCAATGAGATTATTCAAGAGAACATGGTGGTGTCTAAAGGAGAGTGTTCCTTTTAGCAAATGTGTTCATGCCTTCCGGTTCTCTTTCTCACGTTGGTGGATTTGTATTCTCACTCTGCCTCCTTATTCATTTCTGGTACTTCCTGGGTAAAGCTGTACGGCAGAGTCTGCCTGGCAGTCTCTTGGAATAAGCCTCTTTGCAGGAGAGCTAATCTCAACATTCTTAAAATGCTGGCTCCTGGTTGTCTGTTCCTGGGGATTTTTCTCTGGGGCCTTAGCTGGTGCTTAGAGCACGCTCTATAGCACAGGCATCTCTAACTCCTGGATTTGGTGTCAATTTGAATATCTGTCCTTGTGGAGCTAATCTTTTCCTCTTTGTGATGAGGATGAATACTTCATCCTTCTCTGAATCGGCCTTAAGCTGTGAGCTTTAGTCTTCTACAGCAGAGAGCTTTGTATTTTAATTATATGTGGTCTAAAGAGGGACTATCCTACCTTTCCTTTTCTGCATTTACTTTCTTTAAGGATTTTGGTGCTGAGTAGGGGGGAGGAGGAGGAGAGCCTGTTGCTGCTGTTTAGGTGAGACTGTGGGTAACTTTTAGCTCTCACATCAACACTGAGTTTGGGATAAAACTTGTGTTAAAAAATTCAAGCTGCTCAGACACATTTGGAGAACCCCATGGAATCTTCCTGACTTTTGGGGAGTTTACATTTGACTTTCTGAGTTGTTCCAATTTCTACCCTGGACACAGAATCCAGTGGCAACAGAACTATGTAATTCCTCCAGGTCTACTAAACCGCTCACAGACAAGGCTATGGTTGTACTGTCAGGCATGTCCACTTTGGTCTTCCTTAATACTATCCTGAGCTTTGGGGTTGAGAAGGAAGAGGCATAATTTATGCATGAGTAACGTTCTTTTGTCAAAGCCTTGGTGGAGGTCAGGGGCCAAGAGCTCTGAGCATAGGGCTGGGCAAATGGAAAATGCCAGTCATCTCAATTATGTTGCTGGGATCATTGTGAATTCCTCCTGGGCTAGTGTGAATTCCTCCTGATAGCTGCTATTCACGAAATGGGAATGTCTTCATGAAGCTCACCTGAAGAAAGGAGGCACATTTTTCCCAGAACAGAGGGATTTCCCAGGTGTGAGACTTTGGATCCCCCAAACCAGTAAAGTCCAGGGCAAACCAGGACGAGTTGTTCACTCTGCCCACAGTGCATGCAAATCAGTGGATACATTTTCCTTTGGGAACTGTGTCAGCCATTTAGGTCCATATAATCACTTGGACCTTCTCAGCCTTTTGTTCTTGACCACATTATGAGACCTTCTGTCTGCAATTATCTATTTCATAATGGGATTTTAATGCCACAGATGCACCCTTTACACAGAGACACCAAGTCCCAGGAATGTTTGACCCCCTTTGGGTGATATTGCATCCATTGAGAATGCTCGATCTCATTCTAGATCCTTTTTGTCATGTTGTCATCAAAGTTCATTTTCTAACTACAACTGTTTCAGTGCCTCAAATACCACACTGTAGAAATAGTGAATGTTATTTCATCTAATCCTAAGATCAAGTTTATAAGCTAATTCACTTGATTCTCTCTTACTGATAAAGCACAAGCTTTGTGAGCTTAAGTGACTTGACCAATATTTGATGCAACTGGGATTTAAAGCAAGCTCTGCAAAGTTTCATTGTGCCGTGTTGTCCTGCCACTGCCTCTTCCCCACACTCCATGAATCTGTAGTCATAAGCCGGACTTTGTACCAGAAAACTCACTTTTCTCCAGGCTTTATGAAAAATGTAGGAATGCCTGGCGATGTGGTAAAGTGGATAAAACCACTGCATAGATCCCATATGAGCTCTGGTTTGAGTTCAGGCTGTTCTACTTCTAAATAAATCCTTTACTGATATGCCTGGGAAAGCAACAGAGGATAGCCTATGTGCCTAGGCCCCTGTACCCAAGTGTAAGACCTGAAATAGGATCCTGGTTCTTGGCTTAAGACAAGCCCAGTAGCAGGCTAATCCACCTGTAGCACCAACTCCCACTCATGTCTCACTTCTGGCCTGGGGAAGCAATGAATGATGGTCCAAGTACTTGGGTCCCTATGCCCGTGTGGGAACACAGAAGAAGCTCCAGGCTCCACTTCAGGACCAGTCCAGCTCTGGCCTCAGCTGCCTTTTGTTGATTGAATCAGCTGGTGGAAAGTCTTTGTTTCTGTAACTCTGACTTCTAAGTAAAATAAATAAATCTATTTGGGAATGAACCAGAAGACGAAAGGTATCTTTCCCTGATTCTTCCTT